ATTGCCAGTATTGGGACTGGCCTCTACAACATACCGACGACTTCGTAAGTGTAGTGGAAGATTCTACACATTTTGAAGTTGATCTGGATGCAAAATATTTTTCACCGAAGGAAATAAAGGTCAATCATCCTCTTTTGCTTTTCTTGGGCGTAGATAGATCGAGAAAATTTAAGGTTAAAACTATGGGAGATTTGATTCAAATTCAAATGGAACACGAAGAGCGCGTCAATGCAACGGATGTAAACAGAAGCATCATAAGGTGAGTTGCTGGCCTTATTTCTTTTGAAATGTCTATCAAAATCGTTTAATTAGATTTTGAGTTCAAAGAAAATTTATCATGATTTTTTTAACGATTCATCTTTTTTTCACAATTACCTTTTCCTTATCTCTATCATTTCAATGAAAAATTTCCTGTAATTTTCCAGATGTTATAAGCTACCAGTAGGAGTTGATGTCCAAACTCTAAAGAGCAATCTAACCAATAAAGGCATACTGCATATTTCGGGGATGAAAAAGTAAATCTAAATTTTTTTTCGTATGTGCATACTATTGTATATAAAGCTGCATCGTGCTTTCATTCGAAGTGCTGATCGTACAAAATGTGCTCTAATCCATTTATTATAAGTCATTTATTTCGACTATGATGTTGTATATTTTAAAAACTTTTGTAAATATGCTTTTATTGACATAATTCGATGTCGGTATTACAATAAAAAGAAAAAAGCCAGGGCTAGCTGTGCATCAAAAATTCAGTGAGCATTCCAACGCTCCGTAATGAAGAACCAGAATAAAATGTTTACACTTGCCATTAAATATAGATATAAAGAGAGTGGCGGAAGCGAAAAATGTTGCATTTTTGTTCAAATCAGACCCAGCAACAAGAATCATCACATGGAACTCAGCACTCTACTCAAAAGTAATTCATATATACCATAATCACTGACTAAACCAGATATGCTATTGTGTACATGGATGCTCGTAAACATACATACAGCTTTTTGGTAATTTCCTTGTCAAAATCTCCTTTGTAACCGTTTAAAACGATTTTCCGCCTGTCTTACGAAATAATTCTCAGTAGTGCTTCACCACTCCTTCCGAGAGCGCTGGCACTTTCTTGAAATTTTACATTCAACACTTTGAAACAATACTCTTACCTAATCCAAAAAGCCATCGTATGTGTATCCCTGCTAGTGGTAAGTTCTAATTTTATCTCTCGCCTCTTAAAGAAGAATAGCACAGAAGTCATTCCCAAAAGAGCCCGTTCAGGGCAACACGAGATAAACAACCAACCTTTCGTTCTTACAGCAACATTGCTCATTTTAATTTACTGTTTTCATGCTAACATGATTACGCTTGATAATTGTTCTTTGACTTTTAGGACATTTATTATAAGTAACGACATACATGGACCAGCATTCATGTATATGAGAACATGTTGATTTAAGTTTAGAATTATTTACCGCCATTAGGCTCCGTCTTCACGGATAACTCTCTCATCTTCACATTCTCAGATGGCTTAAATTGCCAATCTCTCCTAAGTGAAGGATCTTTAATGCTTGCCAGTTTACTCTAACGTTCAAGATCGAAGCACTCCACTATCTTTAGTAGTGGCAAGATTACAAAATGAAGGATTAGTTGTTGGGCGGGATAGTTGGCGATTGTCTTCCACACCTGTTTATTTGCGTTGGATGGATTTGTATATTGGGTGGGTTGCTGGGTGGATCGAAATTGCTGTTGTGCTGTTGATGTTTGGTGGCCAGATTTGTTTTTATAAGATCGTAATTAGTTGTCGTGAGTCTCAGTAATTAGTTTTCAAGTCCTTATTATGGTAAATAGTCCGATCGTCTATTCGTCTATAATGTAAAAGTCTCCTATATTTAACTTTTGTACTCTTCTCTATATTCTTTCACTCTATTTTGGAGGAGGACCCAATGTAGGACTACGATC